TCCTCCCCCTGCTGCCCTCCCCTTCCTCCTCTTCCTCCCTCTTCCTCGCTGGGTGTCGGAGCTCCAGTGTTGACTGAGCTCCAGTTAGCAGCCGGCCTCCCCCCACTGCGCTGCTCCCATGGCGGACTCTCCTCTCAACAACTCCTGGCCGTCCTTCTCCAAACTGTGGATGAAGAGATGGTCCTTCAAGAGAGGTAACCTGCTGCCTTCAGGCTGTGTTTGAGTGCTGGAGGGCTGGAGCTGCTGGATGTGAGGTCCAGTAGAGGCTGTGAGCTGGATGTGGCCCTCTGATGATGATGATGATGATGATGATGGTGTGATGTCTGTGAGTGATTGTCTCCATTCAGGTCTTTAGTCGCAGAGCTGTTGTCGAGCGTTCTGGCCTGGTTTGGGCTTTGTGGTGAATGACGGTTGCAGTGTGTCAGATGAGTTTGGTTGCAAAGTTCAGTGAGTCATTTCTGTCCTCGGCGTTGTGTAAAATGTGAGAGTGCAGAAATGTCAACATCTACCAGAAGCCTTTGATTATTTATTGGAAAAGACTCGTTCTGTGTGTCGGTTAACAACCTGAATGAAGCAGATTGGACTGTTTTCTCACTAAATCCACTTTACTTTATGACATTTGGAGCATTTGGTGTCTCTGGTGTTGCTGCTTCGACCCGTGAAGTTACCAACCTGAACTAAAATGACTTCAAATGGAGTTTAGTTTGGGTTTTTTTCTCACTGAATCCTCTGAAGCTTTACACACATCATGCATGCGACAGCTTCTATTTCACTGTTAATTGTTCCTCTGTAACCTGATGCATAACACGCAGGGTTATTTCATGCTTTGTGTTTACATCTTCAAAGGAAAATGGCGTTTTAGCATTAAGACATCTTTGATTATTTACTGGAAAAGCATCATTTTGTTGCTCTTGTGTTGCTGCTTTGACCTGTACAGTTAACACAACCTCAATTAAGACTGTTTAAAATGAAGTTTGTTGCAGAATTGACTGTTTTTCTCACTAAAATCCACTTTGCATAACAACATTTGGAGCTTTATGCACATCATGCTTGTTCATTTTTCCTCTATAACCAAACATATAACACTTAGAACTTGAGTTTGTGGCATTTTAGCATTAAGAAATCTTTCCATATTTATCAGTAAAGCATCATTTTGTAGCTCTGTTGTTGCTGCTTTGACCTGAACAGTTAACACAACCTTAATTAAGACTGTTTGAAACGAACTTTGGTGCAGAATTGACTGTTTTTCTCACCAAATCCACTTTGCATAACAACATTTGGAGCTTTATACACATCATGCATGCAACATCTGTTCATTTTTCCTCGATAACCAAACATATAACACATAGAACTTGAGTTTGTGGCATCTTAGCATTAAGAAATCTTTGATTATTTCCTGGAAAAGCATCATTTTGTGGCTCTTGTGGTGCTGCTTCAACCTGAACAGCTAACAACCTCAGTTAAGATGATTTAAAATGAAGTTTGGTGCAGAACTTACTGTTTTTCTCACCAAATCCACTTTGCAAAATGCAAATTCGAGGCTTTATGCACGTCATGCATGCAACATCTGTTCACTTTCCCGCCATAACCGAACATAAAACACCCAGAACTTGAGTTATTTCATGTTTTCATGTTCAGACTAAAATGGCGTTTTTAGCACATCGCGGCTTCCATTTCGCTTCAGCGTCTGTGCAGCTCCAGTCAGACGAATTTCTGATCAAAGGAGGATCTGCAAGATGACAGTTGTTTTGATGTGCGCCTCGACCTCACATCTAACAGCCCCAGTGTTCTGTTTTCACCTACACACAACATCTGTCACGCACACCCCGGCGACGGCGCTCACATTTGGACAGCAGGCCTTGAATCATCCAGCTACCAAACGGCCACCGCAGCCCTCAGCCGGAGCTCTTTGTCCCGGAGCCGACACACTCGGTTCTGCATGTTCACATGTAGAAGAGTGCGATTCTTATTTTAACATCCGTGGTTTGTGCAGTTGGGCAACAGTTTGCGTCAACAGAGTGACCTTTTGCTGCACTTTAGAGGCGTTTTTTTGTAACAGCAGCTCCGGTTAAAGAGGTTTTTATTTGAACATTTGGGGGAATTAACTCTGAGATGATCAATCAACTGACCGTATCACATGAAGCCGACGTTCCTCTTGTGATCGTCATGTATCTTTGCAAACATACGAGCTGAACACGTGAATTCATTTCCTCCTCAGTCGTCCTCTTTTTTTTTTTTTTACCAAACCTGCCAAAACATCAACCACATGACTTAAACCTGCTTTTTTTTTTAGATTCTACTGTGTTTATTTACAAACTGTGGCTCATATAAGTTTAATTTTTGTCAAAGAAAATCCAACAAAACCCGCCACACACTTGCAGATTTAACTTGTTTGCATGTTGTTCATCAGTCTCCACAGAAGATTTGTGAATCAGTTCTTGCTAATTATGTCTTTTGCGAGCTCATCGTCATTTGCTTGCATATCTTCTCACCATCTTTCCTGACGTACCACGTTGGCCCTGGTTGTAAAAATGAAAATCATTTGTCAGGAGGCAGTTTGCAAAAATTACTGATCCTGCGCAGACCAGCGGGAGATAAGTCTGAGATGAAGCAAACAAAGTGTTTAAGGCGGAGATAAGAGCGTGTTTTTAGCAAAGCTTCAGGCTGTTTCGACACTAAGTTTGGCCATTTTTAAAGCGTGTTTACATGAAAGACAGCACATGTATGGTCACTGAGTGTTCATTTAAATAGACTGATGCTCCATCATGGCCAAAAAAAACAACAACAACAAAAACAAACTGCCAGAATTCCTTCTACTGTAGTTTTATTTTAGTTTCCTTTCTTTGTTTTCAACACCATACGTATATGTCAGTGTTTTTCTATCAGGCATTGCTTCTCTCATGTTATGTAATTCTGTTTTCAGAGTGATATCGGGCAGAAAAAGAATTTCCTCTGAGACTAATGAAGTTTTATCTTTTTGTTATTTTATCTTATCTTAGTTAGTTTGTCAAGACAAGTCAAGTTCACGTCACTTCAGAGTCACAAATCAGTCGAGTCCCTGTTATTTACCAGGCAGGTTAAAAAACAAAACATGATGTAAATATGAGGGTTAAGACCCGACAGTGTGATTCATGGTGTGAGTAATTTAAATATTAAGGTTAAGACCTGACAGTGTGATTTATGGTGTGACTAATTTAAATTTTAAGGATTTAGGACCCATAAAAATGATTTAAAATGCAACTCCACCTTATTAGAATACACAATAAGGCTGAGGTCCTTCAGTAGTTTCAATTACGGAGCTTAATCTAACTAATGTAAGTGTAAGGCTAAGTGTAAGATTAACCTGACTAAGTTTGAAATAAAGTTATGATCCTACAAAACATGAAAAACCCAACAAATTCAATGATTACCTCAAAAATACTGTAAAATACCGCTTCACCTAAAACATACTAGGGCTAAGACCCTACAGTGTTATTATTAATAGAGATTAACCTGACTACATTTAAACTTAAGCCTTAGCCCTACGACAGTATACATAAAGAGCCAATCAACCTAACCTAACTATTTTAATATTGTAGCAAAGGCCCTTCAGTATTAGTTACAGAACTTAATCGAACTAATTTGAATATAAGGCTAAGACTCTCCAGTGTTAATATCGATAGAGATTAACCTGACTAAGTTTGAAATGAAATTATGACCCTACAAAACATGAAAACCCAACAAACCTAAGGAATTCCTGGATCCTCTATGGATTTAAGCCCTAAAAAATGACAGAAAATAGTACTTTACCTGACTATAATGCCTACTAAGGCTAAGACGCAACAGTAATATCAATTATAAAGATTAACCTAACAAAGTTTGAACAAAAGTTATGATTCTAATATCTAATATTATAGCAACTAGCTATACTTACTGAGCTTTAATAGTAACTGTTTTAGCGAAGTAACTTTAGTATTATTAATTACGCCACTTAATCTAACTAATTTAAATATAAGGCTAAGACTCAACAGCGTTAATATCGATAGAGATTAACCTGACTAAATTTGAAATAAAGCTATGACCCACAAAACATGAAAACCAAGCAAATCTAAGGAATTCTTGGATCCTCTATGGATTCAGGCCCCACAAAATAATGTCAAACAGAACTTTGCCTGACTACAATACACATTAAGGCGAAGGTGCTACAGCATTAATGATTATAAAGAACACCCTGACTAATTTTGAGCTTAAGTTATGACTCATAACCCACCAACTGGGCCTAACTATTTTAAAACTGTAGCTGAGACTCTGCGGTATTATTAATTACAGAGCTTAATCTAACTAATTTAAGTATCAGGCTAAGACCCTACTACAGCCTTTATAGTTTAAATATAAGGCTAAGACCTCACATTATTCATACTTATGGAGATTAGCCTGAGATTATCTATAAAAGCACAAAAACATACACAAAATCCAACCAAATGAAACATAAGAAAAACGTCCACGCTGTGTAATTTATTATTCTAAACAATGGCAAAAACTTTTCTTTTTTAAGACGGAGAGTCATGCTGGGTGCCACATGCACACAGTAAACACAGGTTATGGAGGAGAAAACACCAACAGGAACAATATTAAACAGATAAACGAAGTGCAGGAGGAATAATATCGACTACATACTGGGTGTAATCATTTAAAGGGCTTCATTCGAGGTGTTTAAGTCTCGTGCTGATTTATTGACGGATAATAGCCGCCGGCTGTAGCAGCACCGTCAGACCACCCTTTGTTCTGTGATGAACTCAGCTGAGCGACACACAAACACACACCTGAGCGCACACACACACACACACTTGATGCTGATATAAGAGGCCAACCATAAAAGGCCTCATCAAGCTGCAGCGTCTCTGCACAAGTTTACACTGAAGCTCAGCCGGCTTTGGACGCAAACAAAGTGTGAGTGAGGCGGCGGGCGGCGGCGGCGCTGCCACCCCTGCAGCCTTTGATTTAGTAAAATAGAAAACTGGATGTACAGTGTGTGTGTGTGTGTGTGTGTGTGTGTGTGTGTGTCTGGGTGTTTACATGAGAGCATCTCAGCGCTGCAGATGCTGCTGCTGGTTTACAGCCGGACACGGTGCAGGACTCGGCCTGCATTTCATCGCCCGGATCAGGTCTCCTACAGTGAAAAGCTGAGCCTGTATCCAGCTGACAGGCTCGTCTTTGGTGTTTTATTCCATATATGCTTTGTGTGTTTATTTATCCATTTAATTCAAGGTCTGTTTATCAAGAAAACAAGTTTAAAAAAACAAAATATGAGCAGAACCATCAGGTTTTGCAGTAATACACAAGAGCTAACCAGCTTTTATGACTGATCCAGGCTGTTATGTAATTCATGTGAGGCTGTTAAATATCAATATGTCACTAAGTTAAGACCCTACGAAGCATCAAAACTCAACAAATCAAATGATTCCCTGGATCCTCAGTAGATTTAAACCCTACAAATGTGATATAAAATACTACAATACCTGACTGCTGCATATGGAGAATACCCAACGAATATAATGATTTATTTAAGACTCTAATATAAATTACAGGACTTAACCTCACTAATATATATATAAAATCATACAGCATTTGTGCTTTTTGTTTAGTTTTATTTTATAATATTTCCTTTCGTAAAATCGTAAATAAATCGTGTGTTATTTGTGAAACTGTAGAGTCAAAACTTTTGTTCAAAATGTGTTATTCATGGAGATTAACCTGATTAAGTTTGAACTAAAGTAATCACAAAGCACATAAAGATAATAATAATGTAAAAAATATACATGAAAACCCAAAAAAGCCGAGGATTCCTAATGAGCGAGCTGTGTTTTATGGATGTAGTTTTAATTTATAATGGTTTTTATTTATTTATGTTTACCAATAACCAATATACAGAGTTTAAACTAATTAACTTAGCATGAAAATCTCAGAAATATATTCCCTCTGAGCAGATATATCTCAGTGTTTTGTTTACAGCTGCTGCGCCCTGAAGAAAAAAAGTCAATTAGCCTGACTAAGAGGACAAACAAACACTTTTTCCCAACACTTTGCTTTCAGCACTTCTACTTTACAGTCCACTCTCTGGCGTTTCTTTCACCATTCCTTCACCGCCGGAGCCGCTGATAGAACCCGACAGCTGTAAGCTCTTTTGCAGAGAACCTGTTTACTGTAGTCATGTCAAATCAGAAAATTAACCTTCACCGGGGAGCAGAACCAGAGCGAGGGTGTTGGAGGAGCCTGAGCCGGGCCCGTGGAGCCGGGTTCACTGGAGGCGTTTCTTATGAAATGACGGTGTTATGTAAGCTGTCTCTGTGGCGGCGCTGCCCGCCTCAGATGGGCATGATGGGGCTGAAACCTCGGCAGCCAACACTCAGGCACCAGGTTCGCCTTTTATCAGTGCGTTAAAGTTAAAGTTCTACCTCCAGTGTGAGCTACTGAAATCCTCACATCTGCTGTGTGCGTTTCCTTCATATAGTACATCATGTATTCACCACAGGGCTCAGTGAGGGAATAATCTGCACCACTGACATGGAGACTAATGCTGGCTCACTGAGCAGTTGCTCGTGGTGACGGTGGTTTGTGGCATCATGTGAATCGAGGAATCTGTTGGTGCAATGGAAATGTAAAGGAGCTTTGAGCCGGGGCCTGAGCTTCTTCCATCGAACCGCTCAAAGCTGTTACACAGGTGTCGGAGTCGGCGCTGTCTTCCTTTGCTGTTGGAAAGAACACTAACAAATATCTTTTCTTTTTTTTTAGCATCAGAGTGCAAGCCATGTAGTCGGCCCAGCGAGGCTCCCAGTTCCCAGCGAGGCTCCCAGTCTCAGCCTCCCAGTGGGAAAGGATCCTCCTCCTCTTTGTCTCCTGCCTCCATCACTGAGGACGTCTTCTTTGGCGGCACCAACGATGACCAGGTGAAGCTCCACAGTCCTCCAGATTTAAACATCTCTACAAGTACTAGACTCCCAGATAGGTGCAGGTTTTCTTGAAGAGCACTAAATTTCTTTGGAGCGCCACTTAAGTTGCCGAAAGGAACCATTTCTTCATGGTTTTTTGAGGCACCTTGAGGGGTTCTTTAACCCTTAACCAAACCATGTTAGCAACCAAAATAACAGAATGGGGTCACACCATTATATTTCATTTTTTCAATCATTTTTAATGCTAACAGAAGTTAAATACTGACTATCTGTTATAAAACAGGTCAATTCCTGTGAACAGGCCATCAGCTAAACTCATAAATGACCCCACTTGGTCGCTTTAAGGTTGAAGAACTGTATATCAAATGTTATCTTATAAAGAACCTCTTGCTAAAAGGTTCTCTCTGGTTCTTTTAAGGCAGGGGTGGGCAATCCTGGTCCTCGAGGGCCGCAGTCCTGCATGTTTTAGATGTTTCCCTTCTTCCAACACACCTGATTCAAATGATCAGCTCATCATCGAGCTCTGCAGAAGCCTGATGACGATCCTGATCATTTGAATCAGGTGTGTTGGAAGAAGGAAACATCTAAAACATGCAGGACTGTGGCCCTCGAGGACCAGGATTGGACACCCCTGTTGTAAGGCATCATTGCAAACAACCGTTTCTGAGCGTAGCGCCACCTGCAGATCAGTTTTTTGTTCCTCATTCAGAAAAATGTCTGAATGTCTCTGCAAAAATGTTCTACAGACGTTTCCAAGCATGTGTTTACGAGCTGGAAGAATCTTATTCGGATTAGATTTTAATTGAAAAATCACTATAACTATTGGACAATTTGTCATTCAACTTGGTGCACACGTTCCTGCTCCTCAGAGGATGAACTGTAGTAACTCTTGTGGCAAATTACCTGCAAACTAAGGGCAGCTGGTTTGTGTGTTCTAGCCCGCCATCCCTGAACACAGCAAACATTTTACCTGCTGAACTTTATCATGTTAGCATTGCCTCTGTTAGCATGTAGCCGTTTAGCTTCTCTAACACGGCTGGTTTATTGGTCTCCTCTAATGCGTTTCCTCTTTCTTCTTCCATACTGGTACCAGCAGGACGCCTGTTCGGTGGTGAGCGACTACGACTGCCCCTTCGTGGAGGTGGGCAGCAGCATCGAGGACCTCCAGGGCTTCAGCTCTTCGCTCAGAGACTCAGAGTTCTACAGAGACCTCCATCCATCCACGGGAAGCACCACCGTCCCAGAGGGCAGAACCCAGCCGGTGCCTCTGAACACAGACGTCTTCACCCCTCTGACCTCACATCCTCCGCCATCCTCCGCTGCGCCACCGTTTCCTTCCTGTACACTGCCTGCAGAGGAACCTGCCGGCAGCTTCGTGGTCACGCAGCTCAGTCCCAAGCTGCTGCCGGCTTGCATCATTGACAGCGACCCCGTGGGCCCAGTGGCAGGCCTGAGCTTGACAATCGACCTGAATGGACTGTTGGGATCAATGGAAACGGAAGAACCAGTAACGGGACTGGAGAGAGTCAATGAGCGACTCTCGATGGATTTAGACGGAGAGCCGGACCTGGACAGCTTCCCCATCCTGGTCAGATCCATGTCGACGTCTCGGAGGCACAGCTGGGGCGTCCCGGTGTCCCCCATCAACCTGGGGAGGAGGTAAGACGAAGGGAGGGACGCTGGTGAAGGATAACGGGTAGATGGGAACGTTTCAGAGGAACCTGAATGTGATGAACTTTCTTGTCTCATAAGTTTCTACATGAGAAGAGAAGTTTTTGGCTTCATTGAGTTCTCGCTTTATGGTTTTGGTTCTCAAGTATAAACTGTTCTGAGGTGTGAAAAACTAAAACGGAGAAAAACGAGCAAACAAAACTAGAAAATGAGCCCATTTTTCTGTTTTTTCCCCCAATGTGGAATAAAAAACAAAATCCAACAGAACAAAATAGAAAACACAGTTTGTTTTTCAGATTGGTGTAATCCCAGTTTTTCTTTCGCTTATTTAATTTTTTCTGTTTTAAACCAACAATGACCAAAAAAAGGAGATTATGTGAGCCTGTTTGTCCAGTTTTTTAAATGTTTTTGCAAACCAAGAATCAAAAACGCTCCCATTTCCTGTTTTTTGTTCGAAAACGAAAATGGAAATATGACAAATCCAGAACCAAGCTGTGTCCTTTGGTACATTAGAGTTTCAGTGGTGATTGTCATTGTTGGTTTAAAGTAGAAAAACAAAACATGGGTCCATTTCTTCTTCTTTTTTTTTTCATTTGACAGTAAACAGATTCTATATCAGCATCCAGCCGTCTGACTGTATGACTTAACTGAGCCGAGTGCTTCCTGTGGTTGACTTTGACAACTTTAAAAAAAAAAAAAAAAGTGCTGAGACTACTTTGAGGTGTGAAAACAGACACCAGTGCACCAAAATACTTTGTGAGAAACAAAACCGAAAAAGAACATACAATACAAACACGCGTCACACGGCGTTGTTTTGTTAACAGATCTGTGTGTGTCTGTGTTCTGGTAGACTCAGTCTGGATCCGATGGCCATGGACAGCGACGGAGAAAGAGACGACGACGACGAGGAGCGACAGAATCGACTCTTCCAGTCGACTCAGCAGAGCGACGGCTGCTCGGTTTGTCCTGGAGACGAGTTGGACGGCTCCAGTTTGAGGGTAACGACCAACGATCCCATAAAAAGAACCAAAACCAACAAAGCATCAGTCTGTCTTTCAACACCTTCAGCTTTCCGTGTGCATTGAGACAACTAGTGTCCCCTGACGACATTAGTGTTGAATTGAAGCTCAGTAATTTCCTGCAGAGATGCTGCTGATTTTGGCAAAGAAGAGTGAATGATGCCTTCATCTGGCACTATTTCATCTGTGGATTATTACACATTTGGTGCTTTAGTGGTGATGACCTATGACTGAGTCACAATAAGCTACGGTACCAGTGTAACTGTGAGGCTCACTAATATGTGTTTCATAGTTTTTCGACAATAATGGAACCAGTAGATGTTATCAGTAGGTGTTGTCAGACTTTTCCTTTATTGGAAAAATGCTTTGTGTTTAGCAAAAGTTGGATCTTTGGTACAAAAAACTGAGAGAAATGTGCATCATCTGTGCAAAAGCTTCAGAAAAGCTCATTGACCAAAGTGTCTTAGAAGGACCAAAGGGTCACACCATGAAAAATAAATCAGAGTCAGCTGATGTTTTATGTACAACACCTTTAGTAATGAAGCCGTACAAAGTTTTACCTTCATACTATGAATGTTTTCAGAGTTTCAGAGCCCTTGACGTACATGGAGGAGGGTCCAAGTTTCAAGATTTTTTAAAATTCATGTTCCTTTATCCAGCATTTTTGATCCCCCAAATCATGTCCAAACACGTCTATATTAGAAAACTGTTTTAACACATCTAGAAGATGACCCTGGTATGAAATGTGTTTAAAAATGATCCGTTCATTATCTAGAACTTGTTCTGATCAACCACCATCACACATGAGCCCTAAACGTTTACCCAGAATGCACTTGTCAAAGTTTTCTCTGGTGAATTATCAGAAACCAGAAACACATCCAGAGTACCGATGATTGTTTATGTGCCTCTGTATCATAGATGTTAAACTGCTGCAGTCTTCCTGTTCAAACTATGATGCATCCCATAATACTGATGTTCTTAAGGTGGTTATTGAAAAAAATTATCTAGAGCAAAGAAACTAATTTGGTGTTTAGATCATGACACCTGCAGTGCATGTAAAACTGATCTGGTTGCAGTTTTTACCAGAACTCAAACGTGTTTTTGCCATCTCAGAAAAATTTTTCCTCTGTGAACCTGAAGGGCTGTAACTCTGAAAACATTCACAGTATGAAGGGGAAACTTTACAAGATATACTTTAAAATAAATCTGCTAATTCTGAGGGGGATCAGGGGTAAGTTTTAAAAAAAATTTGGTTAATTTTGTGTGTAATTTTCACACATTTAAATAATCGACTAACAAAGACCAGTGAGTGTAATCTGTGTCTTTAACCCTGTTCAGGACTTGTGGGGTCTTTTGGACCCCCAGGCCATTTGGTTTAGGTGACAGGTATTGTTTTTTTATTTTTGAAGATGGTTTTTAATGCAAAAAGAGGAACATTTGTCGTGCATTTGGAACCAAAAGTACGTCAACGTATCAGAAAATGTATTAAACATAGTTTAAAGGAACTATAATGAATACAATGGAACCTGAAAGACCTTCTGTGTAGGGAAACATGAAAGTCCTGAATAGGGTTCAGCAGTGAGTGTGTCTGCTGTACGCTGGCGGTGAAACAGCCCAGATGTGCACGTGACACGTACATGTGTGTTTATTCTTTAATGCTTTCAGGCCGGCGCTGCTCCTGGCAGGCATCTGTATTCCCGCTCAGACATCCTCGCCACCGACGACTATTCCCGAGCCGCGCACATTTCTCGCGTCGTCCAGACGTCCAAACAGGCTGCGAGGGCGGCCGGAGGTGAGGCCTCTACACGCACACGGCACACGTATGTTCACGTGTTTGACACTTTGCAGGCAGCTGCTTGACCTGTTGCCGTTTGTCTCCTGCAGCAGACGAGTTCGACCCTGAAGAAAACCTGCATTCCACAGAGGGCCAGAGCCACATGTGAGTAACCGAGTGGTGTGGAACATAATGCCATGTGGAGCTTGTGTTTCATCTCCAGAAGATGCTTCTGCAGGTTCAGTGTTGCAAGACAAGAAGGATGCCGCTGTGGTTTGATTTAAAGGAGGCAGCGTGTCTCATAAATTACACTTACAGCTCGTCGGTGCTCCGGTACAGTAGTGTACATACTGTTCTGCAGTTGTAAATAGTCGACTACAGCTACCTCACTCCCACGGAGCACAGGGGCTTTCCCCATTCTCTCCTGACATTTCTGCACCATGTCATACGTCTGCAGCCTCGTCCTCCCACAGGCTCTCTCTCCAGCTCCTTAGATGGCCCCTCGGTGTGTGTGATTGTGTGTGTGGTTGTAGCACATGTGTGGGATTGTGTGGACGCGGCAGACGAAGGGAGGATTCTTCCTTAAATCACACGTTGACACTCAGCTCCCAGGAGTCCATCCGTCGTCCTCTGTCTCAGTCTCAGTGTCTTGTTTGTCTTAGGGTGATGGTACAGAAAGTTCTGCAGGAGCTAAAGCTGTACCACGGGTAAGTAAACAGGAGAGGCAGGTCTGTGCTCCCACTGCTGCTCCGACTCCGACTCCAGGCCTCCGAGCAGCAGCAGCAGCACGTCGTGACCAGCATGTTTCTGGCATGTGTGTTTTGCATGCTTTGTGCCTGTTTGTGCACCGACACAGGAAAACATCTATGGAGCACTAAGAGTGTTTGTTGATGTCACAGAATCACAAGTTCACCACTGAATAAAACCACCTCACACTGTCTCTGAACTCTGTAAACTTGCTGCTTCGTCCAACACGATCAGTTTTCTATCAAAACGCTGAACTCGCCTCGTTGTCCTTCACAGAGCGAAGCAGAGAAACAACAGATCAGACACCAGAGATTCAGGAAGTGTCACTTGGTATGAGTTCCTCGCCAATGAGTAAGTGCTGCCCTTATCCTTGTTCCCTTATTGATAAAGCTGCAGAAGGTCCACATGAACAAACCTTATTGACACAACAGCTGCTGTGAGTCTGTTGTTATGACAGAATATAGTCAAAACCAAAAGAGACATAGAAATTTATTGACAGCTGATCTTTTTAAAAATCTAAATTACTTCAAATATTCAACAAATTATGACTATATATAATTAAATATGATTAATATCACGTGTACAGATGCTGCAAAGTGATTTTCTGTTGGTCTGTTTGACCCGAAAGTTCCCTGAGGTGATAAATGTTTATCATTTATTGCTATTTACATAAAATTAATTTGAATATAGAACTGAGTTTAGTAGGTTTGCACATAGCCCAATGTTCAATTAAACTTTTAAAAGATATAAAGCAGTTTTTCAAGATTGAAAAACATAGTTTTCTCATAAGGGATGGAGGGAATCCTTGGATTTGTTTGGTTTTATGTGTATTTTGACAGGATCTAGTTCTTCATACAGCACATTTAAAACAACAGCTAAACAATATTATGACTGGCGTTTATGAAATAACATAAAATAAAAGTTTAAATCTTGGGTTTAAGACCACATAATGTTATTTATGGTGTCATTTTACAGATTGTTGATTTAAGCCTTACAAAAATTATATAAAATGCTATTTTATGTGACTGTAAAACATACCACGGCTGAGACCCGACAGAGTTATTAATCATGAAGATTAACCAAATTAACATACATCTATTAGAGCAAAACCCCTACAGCGTTGATAATAATAAAAATAATAATGCAGAAATATACACGAAAACCCAACAAATCCAAGGATTCCCTATAAGCAAGCTTTGTTTAAATTCTTATCATCTTACCTGGATTGTTTAGTGTTTTTCGTTTATTTCATAATACTTTCTATTTCATCTGTTTATTATTTTATTCTATTTTATCATATTTTTTAGCAACTCTCTCTAGTACAGTAGAATATAAGGTAGTATTTAAATCCCTGATGTGTAAAATCACACCATCAGTAATGCCCACAATATTCAAACAGTTCATTTATAACACCAATCAGCACCGACTTGACTTTATTTTTCCGTTTATGTCCTCATTTGTTCTGCTCTTCTTCCACCAGGAATGAGGAAGAGGAAGATCGCGCAGAGAAGGTGGAGAAAGGCACCAAGGTGAAGAGGACTCTGAGCTCTCTGAGGAACAGGATGACTGGATCCTTCAACAAAGACAAGGTAAACCCAAACCCCCATGAACGGTGCTCGTTGTCAGGTTGGATTTGTAGCTAGATGACTGAACCACACCGACTTCTGTGACCTAATACATGCGACAGTTTCCTCCTGCAGCTAAACGCTTGCATATTAATGCAGAGAAGCAGGAAACATAATCCTCAGATGTAAACAGTTCAGCGGTTTTACACATGTTGCGCACACAAAACCCCTAATCCACTTACACAAACCCTTTTAAACGCTCTGCCAGTGACACGGTTATACGATGTCATAATGAGAAAGAGGAACACACACACACATACGCTTGCATATTTTAAAAAACCACCTCCCGTGTTTGCTTCTCTTGTTCCTCTGCAGGGTAAGAACCGAGAGAAGGCCAAGGAGAAGGAGGCCAAAGAGAAAGAGAAAGTGTGCAGCAGCAGCAGCGTCAGCGGGCATCACTTGGTGCCGGGCTCCTTCTCCAGCTGCGCCACCTGCTCACTGTGCAGCAAGACCCTGCAGAAAAAGCATGGCCTGCAGTGCATGAGTGAGTAGCACCACGGTCGCAGGTGTACACGCACCCACGCTTGTCGCCCGCATCACACACGTGCACAGGTGGCAAACACAAGTCAGCATCTACTCATACCCGAGCTGCTGCGTGCATGTCGGCTCACCTACTTGTTGGAGCACAACCAGAAGCTATAATGAAACCATCAAACTCTTATGTGGAACAGATTACAGCATTAAAACACACATTGTGACACGTTTTCACAGCCGTGTGTCAACCCACAGAGTGACAGTTGCAGCAAATCCAGCTAACCTTATTGACTGCAGCTTCTCTTGTGCACCTTTAAAGCTGGAAAGTCGCTGGTGTTGGCTTTCAGTTCCTCTTTAAACACGCTGCTGTTTGTTTGTTTTTCTTCTCACTGCATCATTACTCCTGGACCTTGTTTTGAAGTGTTCCCTGATGTATTGGCAGCATCCTCTTACAGCTGTTTATGTGAAGCTGAAGCACACTTTTGTTCCTCTGGTTGTAATATTCCTCACATCTTCTGTGACTTCTGTGTGTCGGATGAGGTCTGAACACTGAAATGTGGGAAAGTGGTTTGTCTGGAGGTAACCCTGCTTGGTAGATGTGTACAGGATGTTTCAACACCTCGCTGCTTCTCTTTTTTGTCTCGATCTCAGAAGCTAGACTGCATGAAAAACATCTACAGTCTTAGAAGCAGAAGAACCTCCAGGAACCTTCTGGAGTTCCTCAACACTGCTTTGGGTTCAAAACGCTCCCTCGAGAAACCATTGATTTAGTGGGGTTCTGATTTGAACTCTTTATTACTATTATTATCGATGGATTACCAGAATATCTTTTTTATCCCAAACAAAACATATGAGACAATATTTGAGTACTTTCAATACTTCCTGTGAGCAGAAAGTCAGACTGCACTTGCCCAAAAATACAAAACTATTCTCTAAAACTTGCATTAATATCTCTGATATTTTTAAAAGAGCTCCATAACTTAATGGCAAAACATTTTTTTTTAAAAATAAAGTAATTAAAACCAAGTGTAAATGCAGGTGTAACTCCACAAAAAATCCTCTAGAAACTGATTTTGAGTTATTAAAGGTTCCCTAAACAAGCAGGTTCCTTGCAGTTTTTCTAATTCTAAGAGAGAATAGAAGTTTGAAAAAGCAGAATTAACTTATTACAGACAGAATATTAATCCTACAAGCACACGTTTATGAAGTTGGCATGCTCAGATCAAGCAGTATGTATTATTATTCTTATGGCTGCAGCTTTTTGTTGGATTCCTAAATAAGAAATGTTAAAAAAAAAAAATACATAAGAACATTAGGTAACACTTAAAACCCTTTAGTTTGTTATATACGATACAAGATTAACCACTTTAGCATCTCCTGCTGCACCAACCGGTAGAACTATAAAGAGTTAAATATTAAATTTAGTCAGATTTAGCCGTCATAGTCTGATAATAATAAAAAAGGTTCCTCAAGGCTCCTCTACTTCTAAGAGTGATACCGAGATATTTTACTAAAATGAAAACTAGCATTAAAACTATGAAAATATGCATTTACAAGCAAAAAAACAACCCACTCCTTCATAATAAAAGCAGCAAAATTTACTACATACATCACAAGTGCTCATTATGCAGAAATACAATGTTATAGGTGCTACATTCATCATATTTTGAGTATAAATTCCCATGTGGAAGCGTTTATTGTTGCAGAGATACAGATGGTTGGATCTTAAAGAGTGCTTCATAAGTCATTCTATAAACATGCTGCTTAAACATAAGCTGCACATTTTTCTAAATATATCAGAAGTAAGAGGTTTTTTACGCAAAAATAAAACATTTCAAGTGCGAAATTTATGAAATATTTATTAATATGCTATTTATATATGAATACAAATGCACATGTGGCATCTTTAATGATTGGAGAGGTGCAGATATTCATATTAACTGCAGTTGAATCGTTCAAGTGCATCAAATTCTGATTAGATTTTAATGTGCATTGTAACTAAAAACTGCACCTGTCAGGTATTCTGAGTTAAATGTAGTAAGAGAGTCTAAAAGGTAAGATGAAATATGCATGTAAAGCACAAATACTGTAAATATATAGTTACATTCCACCTGCTTGCATATAATTTATTTACCAAAGCAAAAACTGATCTGATGTTAAATAAAATTAGAATAAAGGTGTCACTCATACAGTCAGACTTCCTAAATTTATCCTGTATTATATAATTCTAAACTCCTTTTACCACACATCTCTAGACGTTCCTGTAAATCAGAGACTCTTCTCATAAGACACGTGGTCTGTGTGAGGATTTCACATCAGCAAGTAAAATTTCCAACAAAGAACAAAGAACAGGAACCGCTCTCACTATTAGTGTCATTTCTTTTTTTCTCTCTCTCTCTCCTCCAGCTGCACCAGCATTTAGTCATTTCTGTGCTGCCTCTTCATCACTTCATAGGTTGGTCTGCTTCCTCCTGCTCAGTGGCAGGCCCAGGCCATAATATGTCCAGAGTATTTACACAGCCTGCAGACCTGCAGAGGGGATGTAATATATGACTGTTTTAATAGTTTGCTTATTAAACAGAAGCTGCTCTGGGATGTTTCAGGAGGGCACCACACGTTGACTGTCAGGAAGAGAAAAAAAAACACCTCTCTCATCAGCATCCCAGCTGACAGGGATGAATAATAAATGTTGCTGGTGCACACATGCACAAAACAAGTGAGTGTCCCTTTAATTCGGACGCGGCTCTGTGGGGATTCAGCCTGTGGAATGCGTCGTTTGTGTGCCAGAGATTGTTCCCAGCGCAGAGCAGGACACCAAAAACTGGACAAAACCGAGAATGTGGGAGACTTGTTGCTGCTGGTGGTCCCACTGATGCTGTGTGTTAAACTAAAGCTGCAGATTTAAACCTCCGTCTGGATCGAGACTAAACCCGAGTGTCGCCGTGACGGTAAGAGGCAGCTGCTGTAGCGATGGTGTGAAGCGGGATCAGGTGGATAACTCCCGTTGTTCCCCTCACTGGACTTTTCAGGCATCCCTGCTGCTAGCCAGCTAGCTGGCTAGCCGGCTACAAGCTAATCATAGCCTCCCTTACACTCCACCTTATCTTCTTAACCTTATGTCGAGTTAGTGTGATTTTAAAAACGCACCATTCCACTTTCTCGGAGGTTCAATTTACAACAAACGGACCCAAATTAGCTCCCAGTTAGCCTGAGGGTACTCCTTGCTAGCTGTTAGCCGCGCGATGCTAGCGCGTTAGCAGCCGCTTCTATTTGAAAAACAAGGTTAGTTGGCTAAGCTGTTAGCTTTAATTAGCTTAAAGCGATAGTTTATGTAAACTGCGGGCCACGGATGATCGCACTTTTGTCGCGGTGTGTGGATTTTTCACAGCCTCGTTTTAGTTGGACTTTGTGTGTTTTTCCTTTTAGTTTGCTGCCGACTGTGGAGTTTGCATGAAGCTCAACAGGTGACTGCTAACGTGGCTAACGTTAGCTTCCGAGATAACTTGTGTTTTTTCACCAGAACTCAGCCAGTAAAATGTTCTTCTCTGTTCAGTAATCGGGTTTGAATAGTTCTTCAGAAGGCTATGTGGGTTTTCAACAACCTTTTTTATGTAGAGGATGGTTCCCCGCAGAGGTTACACCACAGCAAGAAGCATCCTTTACACAATAATTGCCTCATGACCACTAGACAGTCAGTTTATGGTTCAGGTTCTTTTTAAATTGCATTGAACAATTTTTCTGTCTTTAGAACATAAAAAATAAAATAGTTTTGAGGTATGTTGATGTCACATTTTGACAAAAATCAGTCTCAGATTTACATGAATATACAAATCAAACCACATATTCAAATTGTTTCACATGAAAGTCACCTTGGAGCAAATAATCATTTTATAATATATGAATTTTTTTCTTCCTACTTCAGGCTAACTATGCCTAGTGACTGCTGATTTTACATTATTTTTCTTGTCAGGAATTTAAATTTCTGGAGGCCCTTTAATTCAAAATGAATCAGAAATAATTAAGCTGCTTTAAAAACAGAAATTAAAATCATTTTTCTATGTGGCATCTAACATGTATGTTACAGGTAAAATCAGAGCAACATCCAAATTTGAAAATAAAATTATTCTTATCCATCTTGTTCTTCCCTTCCATTTAGTTCTATAATAACAAAGTTCTAATCTGTTGTTATTAATGTGTTTACTCAATCACACCTCTTACATACACATGATATTAATATTCAAAGTATGTATTATATTTTAAAAGAACATGGACGTATATTCAAGGAGGGCATCTTACCCTGTTTACCCCAATTTACAGGGTTCTTTACAGTACGAAGAGCTGCAGCTAGTTATTTCTTTTCATTATTGACTCATTTGTGGATTCATCTGTCTGGAACACAAAATATTAAATGCATTTTAATGGAAGAAATGCTGCAAATTCTCGTGTTTCAATCCGGCGAATGCATTCAGGGTTTCTTGATTTTTAATTTGGATCCACAAGTTATAATAATTAGATATAAGATGCTTAAAAAACACATTTAAAGCAGATTATTTGCTTAACCAGGATCATTATAGAACAGGTTTCTTAAAGAGCACATTTTTATTTGCAGAAATGGTTCTTAAAAGAAACTTCTTGCTAAAAAAAATTGTTCTTCTGTGTCATGTCAGCAAAAAAACATTCTTGGTTTTAGTTGGCGGCTTTATTTTCTGCAGTGTGGCGTGATCAGATGTTATCAGTGATTGTTCATATTTACAGCAGTAAAGTCAGATACCGATCGGTGTGAATCGTGGTTAACAGCCTGCTGTGTTTCCACCCTTTAGTTTAGACTCAGGCAGTAAACTGCTTCAGTCTTGTGGAGATGCGTGATCTTGGACGTGTTAAGTAACGCTGGTCTTGAGCGCCAGATTCCTGCCATTCCTCGGCCGGGCAGGTGATGCCGTCGGCCGGCGCTTTATGAGCATCAGGCAATAGGAATGTCCCAGACCGAGGGGTGACCATTCAGCCGGTCCCCTCGCTCTGCAGCCTCTGTTCTGACTGAGCTGTCTCTCTGACTGGGTCACATGGTGCTAATTGTGCCTGGCAGGTCCGCCGGTGCAGAACAGTCTACTCCACTGACTCCGGGTCTCGCCCATCTCAGCCTGTGAGCACACCCTCTTCTCCATGCATCGCTGCTCTGCCTTCCAGCGTGCACAGGGCGCTCTGGGTGAAGATTTCCACTGCCTGAGTGTCTCTCAGTGGGTTTTCCACCTTTAAACTGTTGTTATCTGCTTTTCATGGCGTCTGTTGGTCAGGTGATGGTGTTACGCATCGTCAAGGAGTCTTAGTAGACGGAGTAGTAGAGCTGCTTTTGTGTGGAAGCACGGCTGAACAACTGTTCCTAATATTACTGAAGAGCTACAGTTCTTGGATGACAGTGAAATGTGTCACGGCACAGATCTATACATTAAGCATTGTGTTGCTACAGAGAGGTCTGTTGTGTAAATTAAACTCTCCAAATGTAAAGGAATGTGCTTCTTTGGTTAAAAACTGCAGCAAAAATGACATTATCATGCTTATATGTGTATTTTCAAAGGAAAAGAAAAGTAAAAATAACAATTCTCAAATCAAGAATTATGTTGGGATCAGTCAAAAAAAACTTCCAGTGTGGTTTTGCTGCCCCAGCTACAACTTTTCCTGCACTTTATCGTCTCTAATTTGTCTCTAAATTGTCCAAACACCAGTCATCATTTACATAATATTCAGGTTGGTTTTTATATTAAACAAATAGTTTAAACTCCAGTGACGTTGGTTAAGTTTATGACAAGGTAATGCATTCTTTATCTGATTCCAGCAACAATTTTAAGTGTGGTAAAGTTAATTAAAGGGTCATTCCATTAAAAAACAGTCAGTGTTTGTCATTAGAAGCCTGTAGAATCAGCAGATTTTTAAAAATTAATTAAAAAATATGTAAGGAAGCCATGCAAACTGTTACCTTCATACTGAAATTTGGTTGTCGAAGAAAATCAGATTTAGTGTTTAGATTGTCTCACAAGGACTCAAAATGCTTGAAGACAGAATAGATATTTTTTTTTTAAATCATCCCAACCCTATGAACCTGTGAGGGGCTTATAAGTAAAATGTTCATAGTGTGAAGGTTGAATTTTGCAGGAATTCATTAATTATACTGAAGTTGTTGTACACAAACGAGCTGATCCTGAAGGCATCAGGTGGGAACCCTTTCCAGACTTTTCCCGGCCTCCGTCTTGGAGAACGCTCCGTGTGTCGCTGGTCTTTTTTCGGAGGGGAAATGTGACTGATCGGGATGTTTCGCTTCAGCTCCCCTCAGTTCCTCCTGTTTCACTGAGTTCATCTGGGGACTGGCTGATGTCACGGTTTGGCCGCTTCACAGTGTTGATGTTTTTCTCACTATTGTGAATTAAGAGCAGCCTCTTTTTTTTTTTTTTCTATCACGTATGCATGCATGAACACGCAGCCGGCCGGTGATGTCAGACTGTAATACCTATAAAACAGCTGCTGTGACCTCTTTTAGGCTTTTTATCTGGTTGCTCTGTGAAGCTATTTGTGGCAGCAGCTGGTTTTTCTTTGAACTGATGACGGTGTTTGTTGCTTTATTTTATTTTTTAATGAGTAAATTCTCCCTCAAAGTTAGTTTCACCCCAAATGCTGGCACAACTTTATCAAAAACGATGATTTGGAGAGTCCTGGAGGTTGACAAACGGGGCATGCTGCTTGCTTATATATGTAAAAAGAGGACTTCAGATGCACTGACCAATAGAAGGACTGCACTCTTACACTAGCATAATAACGTGGCATAAGTGTTGCTTTCACACAGGTTTACATATTTTTGCATATTTTTCTGTGCATTAAATGTAAAACATGCACCCCTCCCTCCTAGTTACCGTAACAACACTTATCCTGTCATGGAAACTTTTCCACACACTGTCTTGAATTTGACTGCGTGCACAGACTATAAGATAAAAGCTGCTTTTAATTTATCTGCTGCATGAGGTAACGTTTCCCTGAAAGAAGCACACACCCATCCCTATCTTGACCTCTCCTGCTTCCAGCCGTCCATCCCAGTAGATAGCAGGCTGTCTGCAGAGCGAGCGGCTCAGGTGATCTCAGCTAGTTTTCATTTCTACTTCACCGAGTGACTCACTGAAGCGTGAGCCGCGCACCACAAGTGTACTTCCTTCGTGTCGGGGTATTTACCAGTCAGCAGATGTTGGGTGTGGTGCCGGTTTTGATGAGAGCTGAGCGTCCCGTGGATCAGCTGCTGACATGACTGAGCGACTCGTCACGTTGCTCGACGCTCGCCCACCACGTCCACCTGACCCGTCGGTGCATTTCGCACGCCGTGCTGCTGCCGGGGTGGCCTGGAGCTGCTGCGAGCACTGATAAGCTTCAGTAAACGTGGCGTTCTCGCTTATCTCGGTCTTAATTTTTGTGCTTTCACTCTGCTAAAAGTCTTTTATATGCAGTTATTCACCTCTACTACGCATTCCTAAACAGAAAGGCCTTACTCATAGGCTCCTCAAAGTGATGCTATTGCGATGACACGGCTTTCTACTCCATCTAGATCTGCCTACCTAATAGGTCTGCTTATCTTTTCCTGTTCTGAGCTGTACTTTTCCCAGCTTTGCCCAATCAGTGTGTTTGAGCTTTGTTGAGGACGGTTAGTAGGTTACGTACCAGAGGCCCCGTAGACTTCACTACACGGTATGTTTTTCTCTTGTCTAAAGCAGCCGGGCTGGCACAGAGGTTAAATATTATCTGTGGGTTTGGCTGCTTCTGTTGACTGACTTTTTTCCCTCTCAAGGTAAAAACAAAACGATATTTCATAGAGGACTATATCTGATCTGAAGCAACATTTGCACTCGTCTGTATTTGCATCCGTCGCTGGACTCCAACGGGGGCACTGCTGCTGCTGCTGAAGATTACTCAGAAGCCAGTTTCTGTTTTCTTTTCCTTCAGCTCGGCCAGCAATTGTTCATTTATTACCAGAGAGAGCGACATCGGAGGAGGAGGAGGGGTTAGAGACTGTGGATGAAGTGGAAATAATGGAGTAAAAGTAGTCCGAGCTGAACCTAAAGGGTAAAAAGGCTAAATGAAGAGGGATTACACGAACGCTATCTGATGCGAGGATGGATTTATTCTTTACGGCCTCACCCAGTGGCGTGCGCACAAATGATCGTCTGTCTCACTGCTTCATGCTTTTTAATGTACTTGGCATCCGTCATTGTCTCCATTGTGTCGGCGCAACAGAAGGGCAGCAGGCAATAGAAGCCTTTACAGTCGGCCGTACAGCAGTTAGTGGAAGCTGCTGGCATGACTCATGTTTACATTGTGCTGCTGGCAGGACGGGAGTGTCACCTTTTGTCAACACAACCTGATTTAAACAATCACCACGCGGCTTCGTTTAGCACCACGTTGCAGAAAGAGGGTTTTTAAACTTTCTTTCCGAGTAATAGTTTAAAGGCAGGTTTGTTTAAAGGAAAAATAATGGGATGTAGGAAAATGCAAGTTAACTGGTAAACGATAAATAATGAAAACCCGGTTGAACATCAGGCAGCAGTTTGACTCCTCTGGTTTCTTTCTTTTGTGACCTACTTGATCCACTCACTAAAAGGTTTCACCCTGAAGCAGCTCTTGGTTTACTGTGTGTCCATGCGTTTCTGTTTTTGTGTTTCTTGCCCACGTCGGGCTGGTCGTACCTGGCTGGGTTTGGAAATCGCACTTTGCATATTGATTACTTAATTTGTTTGGCGAGCCGAGTCCCCGGAGAAAGGCTTCTGTTGCTTCCCTTATACAGTATTCAGCCGGGCAGCGAGATTGAATTGATTTGTTGTTACCAGTGTTCGGTCTTTCCAGTAACTGAGGAGAACATGGGGGGACGGGAGGGAGGACAGGGAACATGCTGCAGTAGTAGCAGCAGCAGTGTGTCTTTCCATAACAGCCCTGATTTGTATCTGTGCTAATCAGCAGAGATGCAATCAGTCATTTCATCTAAACCTGGGTTTGTGAACCTGCCTGCAGCACGGCTCCGTATCACGTAAACAAACAGAAGCCACGGCGGAGTTACCGCTGCACCGCGCTAACGCAGCCTTAAGTGATTCTTTCAATTTACGATGAGAACACTCGTCTGAAAACAAACACTTGGCTGAGAAAAACCCCCCATCCCTCCAGGCTTCTGAATCTTTTAACTTTGTCTTCATGAGCTGCTGAATTGGTTTTAATATTTTTTTTTTTTTTTATCACATCTACATTCTCAAGCCCAAATCCATCACTGCTGCCTTTGTGTGCTGTTTACAACTGGGCCAGCGAGACTAATGTTGAGTTCCTGTCCTGCTGTTTTTCAGATTGTGCTGTGAACGTTCACAAGAGCTGCAAGTCTCTGCTGGGGGAGTGCACCAGCAGCAAGAACAAGGTAAACACCAGACCGGAGCACAGAAAAACAAGGACTCGGGCTGCAGCAGGTCACGCTGCAGAACTTAACCTCCATTATGTTCGTTAGGTTGAGTCGTATGCACACATGCATGTTCAGACATTACTGAATGTAAAACAGGAGAACACAGAGGAGACATTAATGCAAACTACGGTTTTATGAGCGTGACGTGTGTTGTTTGTCAGCGTGGAGTTTACTGTAAATGTTGAATTTTAAGTCTACTTATTGCAGCAGTAAATGCATGTGTGATGCACTTTAACACAGTTTGTTTTGCATTTTTCTATTCATTTTGTATTAAAATAAAAACATAGAAAAGGAAGAAAACGATTTTGCAATAAGATAAGATAAAACTTTATTAATCCCAAAGGAAATTCTTGTGCCAGATACGACCTCTAGAAAATTCACAAGATAAGAAATGCGGTGCCTAAAAAGTAGAAAAACAAAATACACATGGAGGATTTTTAGAAAAGAAAAACAAGGCCTCATTTTTTAAGTCTATTTGCTCTTTCTCGTGCACATTTACTCAAATCTGAAGCACAGAATTCAAATATTTGTCATTGATTATTTCCCTTTTTGTTCGACTATTTCCATTATTAAAGTAAAATATTTGTATTTATTTATTTACAAGAATAATACATTACTGATGTACATTAAGTAAGCTAGAATAGAACAATAAAAGGTAATATTGGCAGTCATACTGAGGTAATATCACACATGATAATGAACTACTGCACCTGAAACATGAAGTTTTAACCATTACATTTACAATGTTGGACATAAAAGCGAAACATCTCACATGCACATTAAAATAAAACGTTACACATGCTTTATGACGTGCAGATTTAGAGTTATGAGGAGGTGAATATAAACACAGTAAAGTAACATCAGAGTCTCTGCGTCCTCCCAGCAGACGACCATAAACCCACATTTGGCAGTGAGCTGTGAGCTGTGTGAGCTACATGCCTCCGTTCGCTCTGTCACCAATCTGCCTGAGACCGACTCTGCTTGTTAAGCAAAGTCCTCGGCCGTGGGAGCATCTCGTCCTGTAAAGACAGGACATGAGCAGCGTGCAGCTTCATCATGTGTCACTCAGTCGATAAAAGCTTCAGCCTTGGATGAGAAATAAAACAAAACAAAAATGCTGTCTTTCTTTATTTTCTCCACACAGAGAGATTCCCTGCAGAGGCCTGGCTCGTCAGGATCTCCTAACCTTGGTAAGCACAACATTTAGGTCCACATCTCATAAAGCCCACAGACACAGAACCGGCTGAACTATAGGGGATGCATCGATGGATTAGAAGGTGGCTTTAGTCCCCTTATGTCTAATTAAAATCCTGGCTGCTACTCTGGTGGTTTGCAGAGGATTAAAAGGATGAATCCTGATGATATATGAACTCATCCTATTTGTTTGTGTTGCTGTATATATATATATATATATGTGTGTGTGTGTGTGTGTGTGTGTGTGTGTGTGGATTGTGGGTCACTGAGGTGTTGTCCACGTACACACTGAGCATAAAAGGGGAAAATTGGCCTCCAGCAGTCAGCAGGCAAAGGTGATGATTAGCCACTGTTAAGAACAGTCAGATGATTTACTGCTGGCTTACTTTGCCTCCAAACTCAGATTTAGAAATGTTGCACACACAATATGTAACCAGAGTTCATATCTGGACTGAAGATTTTTACAAAATGCTGTTTTTAATGATTGTTCATCACTCTCTCTATTATTATTATTATTATTATTATTATAAAGTGTTAGATTAAAGGTCATTCATTTGATCCTACTAACGAGTATTTACTAAATCAGATTTTGTTTATTTTTCTGAGCTCCATTTTTGTCCACAAGCTATTAAAACCACATCACTGCACCGGATCACACGTTTCCTCGTTATGAAAAGCAAAAGCACTGTAGCTCGTTTACCTCTCTGAACACAAAGCAGTTTCTGGATGTTTTTTTGTCGCATTTGTACTCACTGTTGGGTTTATTTTTTATTGCAATATAAAGTCCTGCACCTCTGTGGAAGCAGCACAGCCGTGGCTAGAAGGAGAGAGAACTTATAAATGTCTTATATGCAGCATGACACAGTTATAGTTCCGTAAATAATAAAAAGAGAGGAATTTCTTTGATGTTTTTAATTTTACAAAAATTGAGAAAACCTGCAATCGAAGTGTACAACATTGGTACAAGTGTCGGTCACGGTTGCACCAAGAAGAACAGTTTTGTTTTGTTGTTTTTTTGCAGAATCCGGTTCCTGCAAACTGTTTATTTGTGGCAAATTTTTAAACGGAACATGTAAATTAAAGAAATATGAATGAAATATCCTGATTTTTAAGGTCAAATTTATCAGACGAAACCCCAAAGTCGTACATAATTAGTTCAAAGACTGTTGAAGAGTTGAAAATCCCAATGTTCTTGCTGTTTTTATGGATTCTTTCCCTGATAAATGATGCCGTTTCGGCACTCATATGACTTTCAAACACGCTAGTTTTATAGCTCCGACAAAACTATGAACAACAACCACTTTCACAACTCTGGAAAGTAGTTAAAGTGTAAACAATGGAGCTCTGTGGCACAGATTAATAAACTAAATCTAAATGTAGATCCACAGACAGTTCTAGTGAGTAGGATCGACTCATTGTGGGTCAATGTGGTCACCAAAGTTATCCTATAATATTGATTAGCCTCAGGATACATGTGCTTTCATTCATTATCATCAGCAGAAGGAGAGTTCACTGAGTGCTAATTTAACATTCAGCAGGTCTTGTTGCATGCGATTAAACCCAGAGGAGATGCGAGCGGCTGCAGCAGCAGCTTAACTTAATCTCCTGTAGCAGTTGTTTTTCTCCTCTGAACAGCTGGAATCCTGTCAGCCACACCTGACTCTCCTCATGGCGCGCGCCGGCCAATCAGTAGCTCGTGCGGGGGGTCGGGAAGCAAATTGAGGAAAAGCAAATGTGCGAGAAGGGTGTGCATCTTTCTAGAAGGTACTAGAAGACCTTGGAAGTGAATTTGTGGTGGGGAGGGTCGCATATAAAACCAGGGTCTGTGTCGTCGCCTGCTTCTCATTGTTGACACCAGTGAAGCAACTGGACACTGCAGAGCTTTGGATTGTTAGACTAGTCTGAGTTTGAGATATTTACGATGGAGCTCAGTGCTGGCCAGACCATGGTGGCCTCCAAAACCCGCTCCAGAACTGTCAAACCGTCCTGCCCGTCTTCTTCTGCCTCGTCGCGGGGTCTGTCCGGACGGCTCGGCGTGAGGGTGTTGATGCACCGCGACGTCATCACCTGCCGATTCTTACGCTCGCCGCCCCGATCCTGGCTGAAGACACACTTGGGTCGAGTCGGACGGGACGGCTCGCCTACGTGTCCGCTGCTCTGGTCATCCTTCTCCTCCTCTACTCGTTGGTCCTCACGTCCGTCCTCTCACTGCCTCCCTTCACCTGTCTCTCGTCTTTCTTTCCCAGCGCTAAGAGACCGGGACAGGGAGCGGGATCAGGCCGGCCCAGCCGCTTCTCAGGCCCTGGATGGCCACCGAGGTTTCCTCAGTCCCCCAGGCATGACCGTTAGTTCGTGGGGATCCAGCACTCAGCCAACTGCCGCCCAAACCAGCAGCTCCAGCGCAGCCCCCGCCTCCAGCCTTGGCCACAGCCTCCATCACAACAGTAGCTCAGGGTGAGTCGCTCGAACTACCACCTCTCATTTTTAAAAGTTTGCTTCTGAACGGCAGAAGCAAAAAAAAAAAAACACCACAGAAATCTCAAATCTATAATGCCGTAGGTGTTTGCAGGATCTGCTGTATGTAGATGCTGAATATTTTTAGATTCCTGTCTTTTGAGCTCAAGTACTATCTTCTCTATGCCACCGTGAGATGTGTATTTATAGTTGACACGCAAAGGCAAGCTGTCTGTTCGAATAATGCAGCCTTTGAAACTGTCTAGACTGCTTTCCTGCTGCATGGCAAAGAAAGACGTTGCGTAGGGAGATGGGGAGGCAGTGGGAGAGAGAGGCAGAGGCAGAGGGAAGGTGGAAACCAGAGCAGAAGAAAGGGAGTCATAGATGGGCAACAGTAAGTGGAGACGGAGAGGGACAGAAAAATTGTCTGGCTTCTTTAAATGTATATCTGTGCTGCCCTGGATTTGTAAATGGACCTGCTGGCCTCTCGGTGTCTTTGGTGGGGTTAAGTTTTTATCAGTTTCAGCATGTATGCCACCTTGGACCTGTGGTTGTCTTCCCTCAGATCCCTCCCCGGGGAGATGGATGAGACCGATGCTCTCCGCTCCAAACGCTGCAATGAAGACGCCATTTCCCTCGCTCCCTCCACCGCCGAGTCCATCATCGTAGAAGGTGAGCTGACTGACGGAGGCACTGTTTTTCTACCGTAGCTGCCTTTCCTCAGACCGTCGAGTCTTCTAAGGTCTGCCTGAGGTTTTGCCTTCAGGGAGTTTTGATAAATCCAGAGAGGGAGGGAGGGGGTTTTGTGGAGTCGGTGGTGACCTCACCTTGGCTCATTAAGTTGGAGTGTGTGGGAGAGAAGCCGGCTAACTGGATGCTAGCATCCCACCTTTTTATTTAGCTGCCATGTTCCAGAGTTTTATCAGACTCATCCCAACCGTGAGAGAGAGAGAGAGCGCACGCCTTCAGGTGCAGGGTTAAGGTCGACTTTTATTCATTTTTCAGCCTAACGCGTTGAACCCTGAGTAGTTTCTGGACTTTTTTATTCAATCCTGTCA